TGTCGGAGAAGATCCTGACGGTCAAAACCAGCGAAGTGCCAAATTCAAAGCGAAAGCTGAGACAGTTTTTGGGAAGAGCGGCATTCTACAGCCGATTTGTCAAAAATTTCAATGAAATAGCAAAACCACTATATACGTTGCTGAGTGACGCGAAATTCATGTGGACGGAAGAGGCACAGCAAACGTTTGAGCGAATTAAAGAGCTGTTAGATGGTCAACAGATGACGTTGAAACTGCCGGCGCCGGGGAAGCAGTTCACAGTTTCGACAGACGCCAGTGATTATGGTATAGGTGCTGTTTTAAGACAAACGGATGGGGTTGTTGAATACGCTAGCCGTATGTTGACACTTGCAGAACAGAAGTATTCTACGGTGGAAAAGGAGTGTTTAGCCATTGTTTGGGCACTAGAAAAATGGAGACCATATCTGATCGGCCGCCGATTCCACATCGCGACCGACCACAAACCTCTGCAGTGGTTAAAAACAGCACGGGATCCACGAGGGAAGTTATCAGGATGGATTTTACGCCTACAAGAGTATGACTTCACGATTGGACATATTCCAGGAAAAGAAAATGTAATAGCTGACTATTTGTCGAGATCAGATAATAAGACTGAACTACCAGACAGTCATTCAGATGATACGTGAAGGGAAAGAAATTGAAATGGCAGCAGAGAATAGAGAGTTAAAGATGCTACTGCAGCAAAAACATAGACTCAAACTAAACGCTGCCGGCGTCCTAACTTGGAAAGACAGTGATGGTAGCTGGGTTACAGTGATACCGAAAAGCCTTCGTTGTGGGGTCATTCAAGAATGCCACCAACTAGCTCATACAGGAGTTGCACGAACATACGACCTAGTGAGCCAAAGTGCTTACTGGCCAAACATGAGAAGCGATATTGCAAACTACGTACTCGCTTGCCCACAGTGTCAATTGATGAAGGGTGATCGGTGCATTCGACCACAGCTACAAACGATACCCGTAACGGCGGTTGGTGACTTATGGTCCGTGGACATAATGGGTCCTTTCCCTCGAACAGCAAGTGGAAATCAATACATTTTAATGGTGACAGAACACGCCACGCGGTGGGTAAATGCTGTAGCGATTCCAGATCAGCGCGCCAAGACCGTAACCGAGGCAGTCATTCGACATATTGTGGCGGATCATGGTGTACCAAAAATGATATTGACAGATCAAGGCCCCTGTTTTGAAAGTGAGGAGTTCAAGACTCGTCTGGAGGCACTGGGTATTAAGAGGATTAGAGCGAGTCCGTATCATCCGCAGACAAACGGCTTAACCGAAAGGAACAATCGTACACTCAAGGAATGGATAGCTGCGAAAAGAGGCAACTGGGAAACTGACTTACCGTTGGTATTACTAGCACATCGTGCCACAGTACAAGGGACAACAAAAAAGTCGCCTTTCCAGCTGATGTATGGGAGGAAACCACGCTTACCGGTGCACCATAAGACTTGGCCAACACAACAAAAACGGAACAGTAAGAGATGGACAAGTGAGCGGAAACAAGCTATTGAGAATATACAAGAGAAGCGCAAGAAAGACATCGAAAATTATGGCAAGAAACAAATCAAAGCTTGGAAGCTGTTTGAAGTAGGTGACCAGGTGAAATGTAGAGAACGAAAGTATACGACCGGAAGTGGACCAGGATCAGGAAAGCTTCTGCCGAAGTGGGAGGGACCATATGTGGTCACATCGAAACGCGGTCCAGTGTACACAATAAAGAGAGGAGATAAAGAGAAAAGAGTAAGCGCCAGTCTGCTACAAAGATGGAGAGAAGAATGTCAAGACAAGATACCAGAAGAGCAGCAGGATGAAACGTCTGTGCGGCGATCAAGGCGGTTACAGTAGAGCCTTTATAATGAGGGGGCGAGTGTGGTGATAGCTACTTATAATCCGATTAAGTAGTATATCAGAAACGAATTCAGAAAAGTAACAATACGTTTGGCACACTGGAAAGAGCAATCAAAGAAGAGAACCATGAGAAGAATGTTGCCATATGATGCAGAATCCAAGAAGCTATCGAATGTGACGATATTTGACCAATTCGTAAAGGATGTGGTAAAGATGTGCAAATGGCCGGTTGAGAATATGGTATTCCAAATTTACCTATGTACCATACATTTCACCAAATAAACATTCCTTTCAGTCTCCTCAGTCTTGTCTTCTTTGCAGTACTAGTTGTTTGTGCAAACACACTGAATAGTAATATATTTTTATTGGTCTAAGGTCAGGCAGATAGCAAAAAGCCACTCATTAATCCCTTACCAATGAAACAGCCAAAGTCTTATTTAAACTTTTAGTGATTGCCAATCAGATATTCGGAGATTGAATAGTATATGCTAGTAGGATGTCCTAAAACGTTTTGTTGATTATTTCAGATATTTCCACTTTCCTTCCAATCCTTCTGTATCCAGTGATCAACTTGCTGATGGAGCTGATACAACTTCCTAAATATGTGAAGTGGTCAACACACTCAACCACCACTTCACTACCTATCTCTAAGCTAGGAATTAGTCACTGTTGTTCAGTCCTCTAGCATCATCTTACATTTGACAACAGGCGCGAATGACATGCCAAACATTCGAAGACTGATGCTCAAGGTGTTGAGAAGACTGCATTTTATCAGCGTCTTCACCTAGGAGCAGGACTATATCATCTGCATGTTCTAAGTCACCGAGATTATTCCTTGATGGTAACAAGTCAGTCGCTGACTCGCTGAAGTCAGTCAGGGCTAAGTCCATTAGTACCTCTGTGGCGAAATTAAACAGACATGGGGACAATGAGCATCCCTGACGGACACCACTGGTTGTCACCACAGTTGTCAGGTGACAACTCGCTGTAAGCTCTCATCTGGCTGACTGCATGAGTTCGTTTGAGTGGAGTGAGTGCTTTGATCAGTGCGCTGTATTTGTCTTCCTTCACAGCCAAACATTGCCACATCACCACTTGGTTGACAGAGTCGAATGACGCCTGCAGGTCAACAAATATGGCGATTGTTGGACCTTGGCATGTATGCCTATTTTCCATAATCTGTCAAGGGGCGAAGACCTGATCAATACACCCTCATCCTGATCTAAAGCCTGTGTGGTTTCTTCGCTTTTGATTTCCAGACTATCGCTCAGGCCAAGCATGTCCACTGAACCTGGAATGTTTTATAGTATATTTGTCAACCTGATCTCCCTATAATTATCACAAAGATTTGTCTCCTATCATCACTCTCGAAGCTCGTGGGAATAATTCGTTTTACGTCTGTCGGTTCGGGTGAGGTAATAGAAATCTACTGACTTTTGGTTTTAGGTTACTAACAACCCCAGCCAACGATTGCATGTCGCTGTGTGGTCTATTTGAGTCCGATGTTGATATGGTGATGGAGGTCGCCAGGTTAGACAATGACTCTCTTTGTGTCTGAAGTTATTTCTGATTAGGAATAGGTGATTATCTGAACAGAACTGTAGAAGACGTCCACCGTGGTCTGCTCTTCGGCAGGGAACTTCATACTTGCCACCTCCATGCTACTCAGTGTGGCCTAACTTCATTACTTGAGCATGGAAGTCGCTTTTCGGTAGAAATTATTCTTTAATTCATCCGAACTGCAGTCTGTTAGGTCGTAAGCGGAGACTACGAAGCGACAACGATAGGTAACGTCGTCCTTCCTTCAAACTCACCCATTTACAACTTTCGCAGTCGATCTTTTCTGATCCCCTCTCTCCGTAGTGTAGAGACAGTATAGCTGGCATGCTGCTTACTGCTGCTACATCCCTTTTCCCCAGCAGTACGACTTTGCCCGCAGACCACTGTCACACTGTGTTATGGATATAGAGTAATAAATCTAATGAATTTCGTTAAAGGGATTGCATCTGGATTCTAATAAAATACCTGATTTTTGTCAGGTTTTCTTTATAAGAGTGATGAGAATCTACCCATTTTATAGGTGACCTATTATTGTATTGTCTCTAAGACTGGTTTTATGCGGTTGGACTAATTTTTCTTCCTGATGAACTTATTGTTATAGATTTGGCTTTACACATATAGTCACTGTGTTTTTTTGTCTGTCTCATAGTCGTCGTCGTTAAGTTATTATTTTAACCGCTGAGATTAGTTTTGTTTGATTCACATCCTACGATTTCTTCCCAGCTGGGTCAACTTTATATGCTCTCTCGTTTTCATGAGTTTCGAAAATCTTCAGAATATTTATAAACCAGACAATGCGGTTAAATAACATACCTGAAAAGACCTTCAAAAATGAACAGTGAAACTTTAAGTGTGTTGTTATTTTAAACTACGCATTACGAATTAAACGACAGGCAGTTTAGTGATTCCAGCACAGTAGTCGACGTTGAAGCAAGTGCAAAGTCCAAGGCAGTAAACGATTAAACAAAAATGAATCTTTTATCTGCCAATCGTATTTCTGCCTATGCTAAGAAAAATAAGGACTAATTCTCCTTTCATATTATATTTACAACAGCAAGTTGAAACATCAATGTGTCCTAATACTAACGAAGATAATTCATATGTCGCCAAATCGATTGCAAAAAATATATAGACAAATCACCAAAAGCTGAGTACATTATTAAGTGATAATGATGTGATTCCACTTAAAGGTGAAGAATTATTGAGGTTACAAATATGCACTATCAACTTTTGCCACGTGCCGTAAAAAATGTTATAATCAAATAAATTAAAAATGCTTAAGTTTTGTGAATCGTGACAAACCAAGCGTGTGGCAACTAAGCAGATTGTATGCATTTCTATTACTATACTTCAACTTCAAGTTTCAGATATGATGTTGCTAGCCTTTCCGAATACTTCTGATGGCAACCCTGTGTAAGAAAATGCCAACTAATACTGTAAGACAAAGAAATTTCATGCAACTATATGAATGGGTAAGAATTACTGCTAACATTATGTAATCCGAAAAGTAATTTGATCTATTGCATTGTGTACAATTAAATTTTGTTTCTGCCTTTCGTTTATCATAGGAGATCCTAAAACTCGTCAGCATTCTGGTGATGAATATATCGACGATTTAACTCCAGAGGAGATTGCCAAGTATAAATTAGAGATCAACATGGACGTAAGCATCTCCATCTATCTAAGTATTTAAAAATTGTTTTTACATTATCGTTTGCAATGGTTTTGTGCTCTTTAAAGTACTAATACGTATACATTTATCGACCGTGGTATAATGACAGTATTATCTGTTGATGTAAAAATAAGTTTGGTTAAAGACATAGAAGTTCAGGTCAATTTCTGACTTGAGTAAGAAATTTCTTTCTAACTTGGGTAGCATACACCCAGTACTCCATCCGAGATGGAATCCAGAATTCTTAGTTTACGTAGTGAACACATTACCATTCAATCACTCGATTGCCAGATGAATTTCAATCTTCAATCAACAGAGCATGAAACAAAAAAATTAACATAAGATTTGGATTCATCGATCATCCGTGGACTTGCACGCTTCATGGACTGAAGTTGACGAATGAGTTTTAACAGCTAATCATTTGTTCTGTCTTCCTATGTTTGTAGGTTTACAATTTAATTGATAAGACATATTCAGTCAGTGTAGCAGTGTCATTATTATTATTATTTCCTTTAGTTCCTAGAGGAACATAGGGCTTCAGCCATGCGTCTCCATTGCGTTCGGTTCTCTGCTAGAGTTTTCACCTGGCTCCACGTCTGCCCACACGTTTTCATCTCCTCTTCACATGATCTCCTCCAAGTCACCCTTGGACGACCAACTCGTCGCTTCCCTTTCGGGTTCCACTCGAGCGATGGCTTGTCTAGTGATGTCACTTGATGGTTTCCTCAGAGTATGGCCAATCCATCTCCATTTCTTCCTGCCTATTTGTTTCACAATCGGTTCCTGGTTGGTTCGCTCCCAGAGATCTTTGTTGCTGATCCTTTCCGGTCATCTGATCTTGAGCATTGAGCGAAGACATCTGTTAATGAATGTCTGTAGCTTGTTTGAGGTGCTCTTTGTGACACGCCAAGTCTCTGATCCGTATAGTAGTACTGACTTCACATTGGAGTATAAAATCCCGATCTTACTTTTGACGCTGAATGTTGTTGACCTCCACACAGACTTGAGAGTAATGAAAGCTTGCCTTGCTTTCCCGATCCTTGCTTTGATATCCTCGTCAGTTCCGCCTGTAGTTGGAACGATGCTTCCCAGGTAGGTAAAGGAGGTAGTTTCTTTCAGGTTCCTTCCATTTATGCTGATAGCTGTCTGTTGTTGTTGCTGTGGCTGTTGCTGTTGGCCAGGAATCTTCATCACCTCCGTTTTCTCTATGTTCACCTGGAGTCCTATCTTTGATGCTTCTTCTGCCAACTTGTTACTTTTCACTTGCATATCTTCCAGTTTGTGGGAAATCAGGCATATATCATCGGCGAAGTCCAGATCCTCCAAGTTCTTTGTGTGAGTCCATTTTATGCCTGTTTCCTCACTGCCCGCTGTCTGTCGCATTATCCAATCTACTGCAATCAGGAAAATCATTGGCGATAGTAGCCAACCCTGTCTTACTCCTGTCTTCACTTCGAAGGATTCCGTAAGTTTCCCGTTGTGGATTACTTGGCATGCAGCATTGTACAACTGTTGGATGAGATGTATGATTGTCAGCGGCACCCCGTAATAGCGAAGTAGTTGCCAAATCACCTCTCGATCGACGCTGTCGAAGGCCATTCCAAAGTCGATGAAGTTGAGATAGAGAGGTGACTGTCATTCCAAGTTTTGTTCAATGATGATCCGTAATGTGGCGATGTGATCAATACATGACTTGTTTCTCCTGAATCCAGCCTGTTCCGGTCGAAGTTCTTCTTCCAGGGGATGTTTGATTCTCTCCAGGATGATGCGGCTTAGTATTTTGCTTGGGATGGACAGGAGCATAATTCCGCGCCAGTTCTTGCATTGACTTAGGCCTCCTTTCTTGAGTAGTTTGAATAAGTATCCTTTCTTCCAATCCTCGGGTACTTTGCCCTCTTTCCACACCTTCTCCAGTAGTGATGTCATCAAGTCCATTTTCAAAGCGTCTGCTGGGATTCCATCTGATCCTGTCGCTTTTCCAGCTTTTAGCATCTTGATTGCCTTCAGGACCTCTGCTTTCGTCGGGGGGTTGGTGTTCACTAGTAGCTCTCTATCTCCGTTGTGGGTATTGTTGGTTGGGTTGTCGGTGGTGGTCGATTTAGGAGTCTTTTGAAGTGTTCAGCCCAGTGTTTCCTTTGCTCCAGTTGTTTGGTGAGTGACTTTCCATTGTCATCCTTCACTGGCTTAATTTGTGACGAATTTTTGCCTGAGAGGTACCTAGTAGTTTGGTAGAGTGTTGCGAGTTCTCCTTTGCCTGCAGCTTGTTCTGCTTCACTTGCCATGGTTTCATAGTACTTTCTTTTGTCTCCTCTGGCACTCTTCTTTACTCTTTTGTTCAGTGTCTTGTAGCTTGCATTCAACTCCTGTTTCTGTTGCTCGTCGGTGCACTGGAGAATCTTATGTTTCACCATCCCTCTCTCTTCTATTAGTTTCCAAGTGTCCGTAGTGAGCCATTGTTTGTCCTGTCTCTTCTTTCTGCCTAGAACTTCCATGCAGGTTTGACTCCACACTGTCTTCAAGTTGTTCCAGTGCTTTTCGACGCTGACCTCTTCGCCAGTGTTGATTTGTGTCTCGGCTTTGTCCTTTATGGTTGCAGTGAAGATGTCCTTTGTGTCCTGGTCCTTCAGTTTTTGAGTGTTGAACTTGGCTTATGGTCTATCTGCAGCTCCTGATTCTCTGAAAGCTTTTAATTTGATTTGGATTGTCCCTTGTACGAGATAGTGGTCTGAGCCAATGTCTGCTCCTCTTCTTACTTTTGTGTCCAGCAGGCTGCGCCTCCACTTCCTTGAGATTGAGATGAAGTCGATTTGGTTTTTGGTTCACTCATCTGGTGACACCCATGTAGCCTTGTGGATATCCTTGTGTTTGTATACGCTGCCACCAATCACTAGTTCATTGAAGGCGCAGAAGTCGGCGAAGAGTTCTCCGTTTTCATTCATTTCTCCGAGTGCTTCTCTACCCGTGATGAGTTCCCTTCCTGTGTTGTCTGATCCCAGTTTGGCGTTCATGTCTCCCATTAGTATTTTAATGTCACCAGCTGGAGTATTGTCCATTGTTGCCTGTAGTTGTCTGTAGAATTCTTTCTTTTCGAGGTCTGCGTTGTTTGTGGGTGCATAGCATTGTATAATTGACACTTTCCTTCCTTTGGAGTTGAATCTGGCGGTCATTATCCTGGGCGAGATCACCTCCCATTGCATCAGGGCCTTCGTTGCCGGTGGTGACATTATGATAGCCACGCCCTCGGTGTGCGAGTGGTTATCTTCCGGGTGATCGGAGTTGGTCGCTGATTCACCCGTTGACAATTTGGTGAGTCCATTCCCGTTCCATCTGCTTTCACATATTCCCAGTACTTGAATTCTGTATCTTTTTATTTCGTTTGCGATCTGGGCAGCTTTGTCAATCTCATACATGGTACGGACATTCCATGTCCCCACACAGACTTTTTCTTTTGTCTCAAGGAGATACATCGTGCTGAAGTTTCTGTAGCAGGTTTGTTTACAGGGTGGGGTTGCTAGCCTCACGCCTGGGAAGGGGGATTGTTACATTAAATTAAAATTTAGAGAGAAGCGACCTTGTGGGTTGCTCCCCTTAAAACTAGGGAAACAGGGAATAAGCAAGCAGAAAAACACCAGCACGAGAAAATAATTCACAACAAGAAGGGTAACAAGAGACAACAACAATAATAATATCACAGTCAATTACAGTTAACCAAAATGATACCAAAATCATAGACTCACTGACTTGAGTCAACTTGAACATGTTAATCCATCAATATATATATAATTATAGGTATTAGTTAGTGTTAAACAAGCACAGAGTGGCAAATAGATAGTTATAGGTGTAATTGATATACAATATTATATCCAAAGATTCAGCGTTTCAAAGTCAAATAATTGTAATAGTTTTTTGCAGCTTTTTGACAAGATGCTCCACAAAAATCAGTGTCAAATGACTATATATATAAATATATATAATTCGCATGATAGCTGGTTGAAACTGTGGTTGATTTAAGTGTATTACGTGTGTGGTTAGTAGCTGCTGCACATTGGTTCAAAGTTCTACGTTGAAACCAGCAAGTCAATCAGGTTCAAATCTTGGTCCATCCACTTCATCCAGTTCACCTGCTTAGTATCATTAGCTCTCACACGATGTGTGGCTCATAGTGGGATACATGAAAAACCTGTTCTGGTTAACCAAGTTCTACCATATACATACAGTTTTTAATTTCTTAGCGGCCACGCCAATCATAGTAAATATTATAATTTTAAGGCAATAGAATAATATGTTTAAACATGAGGCTAATTAATTTTTGCACTAACTGAGTTTACTAATAAGTGGATAAGAAAAATGGATTAGAAGTACGATGCATTTCTTAGTTAAATAGTTAGCTTAACCCTTTTTTTTGAATCTGTATAACCGAGTTACTTAACTTGTATACTGAGTTGAAAATCGTCAACAATTTTTTTTTGCTGGTTTTGCGACTTTCTTTGTCTGTCCGATTAAAATACCGACGGTATCTTTATTTTTTAATAACATCCTTAAACAATTAGATTTTAGCGAGTTTCAGCGGTGAATGTAGTCAAAATTCATTTGTCATTTTACAACACAAGGTTAGTCACCTCACCAATCTCCATTAATTAAATAGGATCTAGAAAACAAGAGCACTTAATAAACATTAAAATGTTCATCAGTTTATTCGAAACACATGCATTTCGCTATGATTTCGCTTGTTTTGATTCTATTGTGAATCTGAAACAGAGGAATCATGTGGAACATAAATTACGTATTCCGACCGCGGGACCGATATTTCCTACCTTGACATGGTGATCGGGATTCCATGTTGAAATGACCCACCGAGCTGCAGTGGTTGCAACAAAATGTTCCTATAGACCCTGCAGTTAGAATCAAGTAGTTACCATAATATCGTAATTCACTCGTCCTATGTGTAACCATGTGGACACAGGCAGCGAAGCAGTCATCCCTTCCACCAACTTTGTCAGGACACCGAGTTCCTATTGAAGGAAGAAATAACTGAACGCGTGTCTAAGACTGACAGCGATACTAATACTGAGGAAGCCTAGCATAATATCCAATAAGCTGTAGAAACAACGATAATGACCGATAAGCTAGAAACATTGTTTAGGAAATGCCAGCGTATCTCTGTTGCTTCATCCGAGGTGATAGATTCAAGAAGACTGATTCCGATGGGCTCCGGACACTATGAAGAGCGGAAGCTGCTTAAACACAGACTGACGAAATGTCTCCACAATGAACGTGAACATTGGTGAGCGACGTAAGAAAAAGTGATGAAAGGGGCACTGGTAATATGTAACTCAAGACAAATATTCAGGCTAATTAAGGAAACACGTTGTAAAAGGTGGATCATAATTGAGATAACCTCCCAGAAAAGCGGTGCATTAATTAGCCCTCAGGACAGACGACTAGAATGTTGGAAAGAACACTGAGGAACCATTCAACTGGTCAACGGTCTCGCTCAGTTTGCTAAATATCTAATGCCTACCTGAATGGGATATGGAACTCAGTTCTCCCTCCATGACTGAGGTTACAAAGGCTGCTTGTTTTCTGAAACGAAGCACATCTAGAATGACTCCGGATATGAATAAGGATGGTGCTGAAGAACTGTTGTCTAGGTTGACTTAGATAACAGAGGATGTTTGACATGGTCCCGTTAAAATAGTTCAGGTCATTTATTATCACAGTCTCTTAGAAGTGAAACAAGTATTCCCGTGATAACTATAGGGAAATTAGCTTGACTAATATGGTATTTCATGTTATAGAATATATTATCATGCATAGATTAAGTGGTGCTCAGGAGAAAAATCTCAAGAAATTAAACAGGCTTTGGGTTAGGAAGAGGGTAAATCGATCAGATTTTCCTCCTCTGATAGATTCTGAAACACAGCCATAGTAACCAGCGTCCAACAATCGCCATATTTGTTGACCTGAAGGCGTCATTCGACTCTGACGACCGAGTGGTGCAGTGGTAATATCTGGTTGTGAAGAAAGTTCCGAGTGAGTATGTCACACGTGCGTACTGCTCAGCATTTCTCCTTGTCATTCTTCATGATTATGTGATGTGTCCATTGGAAGTGGAAGGTACAGTAGGAGTAGCTGTCTTTCACCACAGATATTTGCGTTTTGTCTCGTGTGTCAGCTGGTACATATAGTATGTTGAGTCATTTTGAGGTTATAGAGAGGTTTAATGTTAGGTAATGAGGGTAAGTCAGTCAGTCGATGAAGCTGTGATGTTGAATCGCTTGAGATGGTTAGGAAATGCGTTGCACATACCGATGACTGAGTCTATTGGTGATACGACCCAAAATCTTTTTACATGTTGCAGATGTATTCATTTCATATTAACTCTCAGATACACTATTATTTCCCCCTCCATAAATTTTCGCTTACTATAAATTGTTTGTATTGCTTCTTTCTGTGTTTTTCTGCGTCCTATATGGAGTGTGGCTGCTTGAACTTGAAAACTTAGTCACTGGAAGTAACCGTTTCCATCGAATTTTCGAATTTAAGTTCAGAATTTTCCTGTTATGTGGTGCATCGACAGTAAAATATATGATTTAGTGAGGATGGGGAAGTGAATCTTTCAGAAACTGAGTATGTTCAACGCATACGAGATAATCCTGTCAGAAGTGTATTCACTTTTGATTTTAAACAAATAAAGTATTCTAAACCATATCGTACAATGTTTTGAGAAGTTGCTTGAGTTGATGAAGGCTGTAATTTATGAAGAAAGTGTCAGAAGTGTTAGTACAGTACAAGCGTACACAGCCCTCGGAACGATGCAAGAAATTCAGTTCGACAGTTAACTGACAATGAATACTGTACAGTTCGTTAATATGCTGTTCGCCTTATTTAACTTATTTTAAAATTTGTGGTTAAAACTAGATCAATGCTGACTATTACAATGTATCAATTTATCTAGTCAACGTTCAAAACATTCATGTGATGTACGCTGTCACGTAACTATATGGATGATAAAAGTGAGATTCGATTTTATTATTTCGATCTAAAGGCATCTTGACTTGTTGTTTCAGTTTAAATAGCGATTTCCTTGCCTTCTGGGCTTTTTCTATGAATCTAAACTCATATTTGGAGTGCTGTTATGTGTATTACTAGGGAATAATACACTAGCTATGGGTTATTGCCCGATCCTTTTTCCCTGTGTGTTGCTGGCTTATTGGTATTTGATGTAAGCCGTTCAGCATAACCTCTCGAATCGTTTTGCAGACTTATTACAAGTAGCTAGCTTCTTTTCGTATCGGTTGTGATGATGACGCCATCATATTTCACTCATTGTTGTTTCCTTAAACCATCGTCTTCATGTATGCCTTATATTTAGTAGAACACAGTTGTATGTACTTAATTCATCAATCCAAATTACCTTTTAGGCTGTTGGCAGCTGAAGAGGAGCCTGGTAAACAGCTCTCCACATTATCTGCTGCAAAGCTTATTCCCCTTGCTTTGACATACGTAATTTTTTGGTCGTAAGAAATTTTCATCTTGACTGTTTGTGAATATGCATGCATTTTATGTGTAGGAAACAAACGTAATCTCATGTGTGCAAAACGAAGACGACACATTTTAGGATATCGACTTTATCACCGAAATCTCAAATGCACTTAGCTGATGAACCTTACGATAAATAAGATCAGCAGTGGTTTCTGTCGTTGTATACTGTTTCTGCTAGTTTCTTTTTTGACCACGTCTACTACTCAATCTCCTTTTAAAATCTTGGTCCATTTTTATGAATTGAAAAATGTAGTGTCTTTCTGTCCCTCTGTATGTTATTTCATTTTATCCTCGTAGCGGTGACTTCTGCCTATGTGAGGTTAATTTGATTATGTTACCATTAATGTATTGGTAAGGAGATTAACAGCATTGTTGTGACTCTCTTTGTTTCATCTCAGGATTAATACGTTTTGAGTCAGATTCAAAGGAATTTTCGGCTTTGTTACAGTTTAATTTAATTCGGGAAAGTTGGTTATGCTACAGATATTAGTGTTCTCCTTTCTTTCATTCATATTAGATTGTTTTATTTGGTTGTTCCAAATACCAAAAACTCACTTATCCAACTTGTACTTAGTAAATGAAGGAAATAATGCTTTTCACTTTACAACACTGTGATCTGTACTCAAGCACATACGATCAAAACAAAAAGATGAACATTTAAGGAAATCAAACTAGCGGTTGAAAAGATACGAAAGCCATAGAAGCTAACATCACTGACAGAGGTTAAATAAAGTAGTGAAGTACTTCTGTGGTGAGTACTACTTATAATCAGATTAAGTAGTATATCAGAAACGAATTCAGAAAAGTAACAATACGTTTGGCACACTGGAAAGAGCAATCAAAGAAGAGAACCATGAGAAGAATGTTGCCATATGATGCAGAATCCAAGAAGCTATCGAATGTGACGATATTCGACCAATTCCTCAAGGATGTGGTAAATGATGTGCAAATGGCCGGTTGAGAATATGGTATACCAAATTTACCTATGTACCATACATTTCACCAAATAAACATCCCTTTCAGCCTCCTCGGTCTTTTCTTCATTACACTTCCAGCATTTTATTATATTCAATCCAAAATGTTTGACATAATCAATCAGTTTGGACCGATAGTTAACATTTACTAGTAAGGTGATACCTTTATACTGAGGCCATCACACGAAAGCTTAAAAATGTTGAAACGAAAAGAAGAGAGGCAAGTTTGTTATTTCCTCAAAATTCGGAACAACTAAATAGGACTCCGTTTATTGTACAACTGGTTGACTTTTTCTTAGGAATATAAATTATTTGCATTGAATGAAAAAATTTTGTTTTCTTTTCCTTTTTTTCCTGTTGGTTATACACATCTATCGTACTGGACTTCTTTTGTGTATGTACATGATGGGGTAACATTGTTTTTCTGTGTATATATTTGATATCTACGCACACCTGATTATGTGCTTGTGTGTGTTTGTGTGTGTATCATGTCCTTGATTGATTATCACTATTCTTGTTATTTGTATTTGCTTGTAACTTATTTGTGATGATGAAAATCTGCTCTATTATGCAATTTCGTTTTTGGCCCTGCAACGCTGATCTATTTATGTATGAATGTGCGTACGTGTAAATTGCAATTTTTTTGGGCTGGACATCTTGATTAATAATAATAATAATAATACACACTGATGCCCTAATACTTTTGTCATCTCTAAACACATGTATGTATTAATAATTGTGCTGCATACGTATATTTTTTTCTGTGTAGAATTTTATTGTTGATCGTCCAATTCTGCCTGATCCAATATTGTCTGTACCGCTTTCCAAATGGCAGTCAGATGATTTATTGTTATTATTCTCTTCTTCATCAAAATCATCTTCTAATCGTCATCGTTTTATTAATCAATTTCAGAAACAACAACAACAACGTCAACAACACCATCATCAAAATCATACAAATAATAATAATAATCAACAGCATCATCGGCATCAAATTCAAAGGAATCAGTCCAACGCTCATTATATTCCATCAAAGAAAGAGGTGGGGACGCGTCCAAATCAAAGAATTCGTAGTTCAAATGTTCCTAATATACCTAATAGTCAAAATGTTCCCAATCAACATCAAGTTAGTTCGGTAAGTGTTTCAGCATCAATGTAGGAAAACTTTACTTGATCTGAAAAGATACGCAACTGAATTTGATCCGCTGTGATGTGACAGTATCAGCGAAACTAATCAGATTTTCTTTTATCCATCTAAGAAAACACCGGGGGGATCATTGAAGTCGTCAAAACACTAACTGATTAGATATTAGATGGTTTAGAGAATCTCTTTTCTTGAAGTTTTTTTTTTTGTAGGCTATCATTTTAATACTGGTAAGCACTGAAGAAGAAAAAAAGAAAGATTTTTCTGAAAGCAGTCAAATTGATGACGTCCTGTTTTCTTAAAGCTACCAACTTGATTGATATTTGCATGCACAATACACTAATTTTCCGAAGCAACACCCAATAAACCTTAAAGAGACGCTATACATCCAGACAAAAATGAATTTGAGTACACTGAAGGATGAAGAGATAAGCAAAAGCAAGGTGAACTGTAGATGACTGTCTCAATACATTCCAAGTTTCTGAGTAAAACTAAGTGTTCATACAGAGGCTGTCTATATCGTTGGAGCATTAGTGAATAACACTAAATGGATCATTAGTAAAAGTCTGTTTGTATCATATTAGATAAGCTTACTTTTATATATGGTGCACAGTGATACAGTAATAATTACTGGATGGAGTTTCAAGCATAATTTATGGCTCACAATCTTAAAAATTTATTAACACGACTTTCTGATTTGCTTTTTTTTTAAATTCTACTGCTTCCTGTTTTTATCGCAATTTCCATATATCCGGTATAGGCGTTGCATCTTTTGGTGTTCATTCGATCGACAAAGATTAGGCGATTAATCTCTCTGTCTCCACCACATTATATTACTATATAATACTCTTGGCCTATTCCACCCGGTTGTGTGATTACGTACAAATGAAGGAACTGCAATGACACGGCAATTTTCTAGGTTATTCAGTTCATCAGAGTCAATCATTCTAGATCGACTTAAATTCCTACGTTCCGATGATCTAACTGATCCTCATCTACCAATCTAACTTATGTAATTGTCCTCACGGTAGTTACATGGTATCTGGTAAATTGTATTATTTTTCCTAATTGGGTTTATCGAGTCCTTAAAACCGACCAATTTTGTCCCTGATTCAGTCGGTTGTTTTCACTGCCACCTTAATTCCAGCTTCCGACATAGGACACCTGTTGTTCCGCCGTTATATGAGGAGTAATAGGACGGCTTTGTATTCCTCATTAATTATATGGCTACTTTTGTTTTCACTAACTTCAATTTTTTCCCCATAAATTCTGGTGAGTAATTATTCACTAGTAATCTCCATTGTTGTTTGTTTTCATCATTTAAAACCTCTCACTAACAATTTAAACTCCTGACTCGATTACATAAATATTCATTGGTTACTCTTCAGACACGAATACTATCACAGACAGAAACACGATATACAAATTTTATTTATTATTTTTTTTGATTTACAGCTTGATTCCACACCGTATTTTCAGTACAAGTGTGGAATTTTCAGCATGGATATCGGTAGCCCAAATTCAGGCCGACCATAGATATCGGGTGTGCGCAAACTATATTGGCCAACAAATTGTTTTAAGGAAAATACCGTGCTAAGAAAAGTGAAGTTGGGATAGAACACCATCAACTATTGATAACCAAGTGAAAAATCGGCCCCTCAATAATGGAGGCATTGAGCTCTGATGAAATAAACTTTCCCTAGAAAGAGTTGAATTCATTTTCTGAATGAGATTAGGCGTAGAACTTTGCAAATAAGTCCAGCAGTTCAAGTCACCACACTCCTTATTTCACGCAAATATAGAGCAAATAAAACAAAAGAACAATGATGAGCTGAGATCCATTTCATGGATCTCCGTAACGATATCTCCTACGTTCACGTGGTGGTCGGGCTTGCATATCGCGATGAACCAACAAGCTACACTGACTGAAAGTAATGTTCCTGCATGTCTTACCATGCGAGGAAGATTGTTTGCGTGGAGATTAGACTAAAAGCAGTTACCGGCATAGTGTAAGGTGTTTTTCTACACCGTGTGGGCAAAGTCGTACTGCTGGGGAATAGGAATGTAGCAGCAGTAAGCTGTTACCCTCAGGTGACCAGCATGTCAACTGTGCTGTCTCTCCACTACGGAGACAGGGGATTAGAAAACGTCGACTGCGAAAGTTGTATATCCCGACTTACCCTACGGTGGTCCATAGCAGGCGGTAATTTACTAATACGGAACCAAACCAGGATGCCAGTTCAGACAGGCCATGAGTGACAGGCCTCAAGCAGTTGTTCCCTGGGCTTCGCGGTCACGCAACACAAATTCTCTCTCCCTTACCTGGTACCCCAAGAAAAAGCAACTTCCACCTTGTGGGAAGTCGGGATGTAACAACTGACCACACACTCCGAAAAGAACACGAAGCTCTCGTTATCATCATTCTCCATTACCCCTGTCAACCTCATCATCTTGCTTCCCTACTACTATCAACACTATTCTTCAGGCTAGTGAGTCATCTTCATTTCATTCTGTGACCACAAATAGGGGTGTCGGAAGACACCTCAGCAAGTTCGCGAGAACCCGCAGGTGTAGGGATAGCATTGAGTGTTAGGGCAGAGAAATCACTTTTCGACTGGATCCCAGTAGATAGTTGCATGTGTGCGGTCCGTTAGAATAGGCCCGTTAGAAGCAGGAAGGGCTGAGCCACCCATTGATGTCTTTTTATACTGTCTACATACGCCCGAACCGACTACAGTTCGGATGAACTAAAGGAAGACATCCACCTGAGACTGTCAAACTTGCTGCAAAGATCAAAACGCTCACACATAGATGTTTTAGCAGGCGACTTCAATACTGAAGTAGGGAAGTTGTGCCAGACTGAGAAGTATGTAGGTGTCACGCATGATGTTCCTTACCGACGAAGCGACAACGGTGATTGTCTTTTACAGTTCTGGTCAGATAATCATCTTTTCGTAGTCAGCAATAATTTCAGGCACAAAGAGACCCCGCGTAACCTGGCAACCTCCATCATCAAATCAACGCTGGACTCAGATAGACCACATAACGATAGGGTATCGTTGGTGAGGGTCAGTAGAAGACTGCCACTCATTCTGGAACACATGCGTAGACTCTGATCACGTCCTGGTTGCCCACGTTTGTGCCTGAGATTAAACGAGCATAATAAACTGTTGGCAACGAAGCAGTTACGCCCCCCAATCCGATGAGAACACCGAGTCCATATACGAGGAAGACATAGCTAAATGCGTATCTGAGACCAACAGCTAGAGTCCTCCTGAGGAAGCCTGGCACAATATAAAGTTAGCTGTAGACACAGCTGTGAAAGCGGTTGATAACCTGAAGTTAGTAAGAGCCAGTGGATTTCTGCTACCTCACCCGGACTGATTGACGCAAGAAGACTGATTCCGGAGAGCTCCGAATGTGTTGAGGAGCGAAAGCTGCTCAAACACAAACTAGCAAGAAGTCTTCGCAACGACAGTGAACAGTGGTGGGTGAGAGAAGCGAAAGAGATGAGGAAGGCATCGGCGATAGGTAACACTAGACAATTTGATATGGTTATGAGAAATAGTTTGTGCTCGAAACGTCATCAGTCAGTATTACTGTTTAACACTGTGTGATTTATCAAAATAAAATCTTATCCATAATGGAGTTCTTAGGCTTATCAGGGAAACAGGTGATAAAAGGCAAACGATAAGTGAAACAATCTCTGAGAAGAATGGCACCATGATTACCTCCCAGAATAGACGACTAGAACTTTGGAAAGGACACTTTGAGGGGGAATTTAGCTAGCCTACTGCCGCGCTCAACTTACCCAACACCTCTCTGAATGGGATATAAACACGAACCCTACGTCCGTAACTGAGGTTACAAAAGCTGTCTCTAATCTGAAACGAGGCAGAGCAGTGGGACCTGATGGGATCACTCCACAGGTGTTTAAGGACGGTGGAGACGGTTTACTGTCTGCGTTAACTAAGATACTAGGTAGCGTCTGGGAATCAGAGGTAGTTCCGCTGGGTTGGTGTAAGTCATTGGTTATCCCGACATACAAGAAGGCAAACAGGTCTTCCTGCGATAATCATAGGGGGATTAGCTTGACTAATATGGTATCTGAAGTAGCAGACTCGATAAGCATGCGTAGACTGAGTGGTGCTCGGGAGAAACAAACACGAGAAAATCATGCAGGTTTTAGACAAGAAAAAGGGTGTACAGACCAGATCTTCACCCTTCGGAGGATTCTGGAACATAGGCATAGTTACCGTCGGTGTCCAACAATCGACCGAGAGGTACCATGGCGGTTTCTGGCTGTGAACGGAATACCGAGGAAATACAGCGCACTGATCAAGGCACTCACTCTACTCAAACGAACTCATGCAGTCAGCCAGGTGAGAGCTTACAGCGAGTTGTCACCTGACAACTGTGGTGATAAAACGCTGATAAAATGCAGTCTTCTCAACACCTTGAGCACCAATCTTCGAGTGTTTGGCATGTGATTCGCGCCTGCTGTCAAATGTAAGATGATGCTACAGGACTGAACAACAGTGACTAATTCCTAGCTTAAAGAAAGCTAGTGAAGTGGTGGCTACGTGTGTTGACCACTTCACATATTTAGGGAGTTGCATCAGCAAGTTGATCACTGAGGAAACCTGAGCATGGATACAGAATGCTAGTTTCGCATCGGTCAATTTACACTGTCTCTGACTTAGTAGACGTGGTATCCGACTGTCAATCGAAGGACGTGTGTACTGCACAGCAGCAGTTCGCTACGTCCTCCTTTATGGTTGTGAACGAGACATGGCCACTGAAAGTGGAAGACGTGAAAAGGCTAGTTGTTTTTCATCATAAGTGCCTGCGTTCTATCTAACATGTTAAGTGGTATAGTAGGGTGAGCAACATTGACATTAGGCTTCCGTCAAGTGGTAGGTAAGGAGAGGAAATCAATCGATGATGTTGTGAAGTTGCACCGATTAAGATAGTTCAGACATGTGTTATGTATGCAGGCCTAGCCATCGCCATCCTCGACAATGGGGAATGTTAGCTGAAATAGGATTGATGAGGTTGGGAAAGAGCTAGTGGTGTGGTCAAACCAAAACATGGCTTCATCAATCGATGAAATCCACAAAGGTTAGTTTAAGCCGACCATGTAGGGAGGTGTAGACTTCCTGACTGGTTGTTGTCCTCGGGATGGTGAGAACCAATGGCTGGAGGCAATTGGTGTGATAGCTCAAATTCGTTCTCAGTGGCACAGGTGCACTCACTTTTTATGATTTATAATATCGAATAAAACTATGTGGTTCTTCGATATTACTATTCTTTTTCCTTCATATTTCTGTTTTGAATCTTTCTGTACTCCCTTCTCTTCCTTTGTGTGTTACATGGAGTGTGGTAACTCGAACTGCTGCACATCGGTGCAAAGTCCTACGTTGAAACCAACCTGTCAGTGATACAAAACCGATACTTGGGCTTTAACTCATCCCACCCAAAATCGGTGTAGCTATTTTCAGTTAAATGTAATGTAATCGAACCAGGAGCCTAAATAATCACCCAGAAAATACTGAACAAGGAAATCAAATAAATAAGGATAACATTGCTAGTGAATGGCTACGGACCAGTATGAAGACCCTTAAGGAAAGCGAGAGTAGCGAAGCAAATAATGGGGAATTCGAAGCCTCGATACTAAAAACAAGAGTAAATTGATGTAATAAAACCTGGACACTGTGATAGTGTAATTCCATCATATAGTGAATTTGTTTTATACGATCACACAGTGTACAGTAATATTTACCAATGACGTTTCAAGCACCATTTACTTCTCATAATCAAATCAAGGCACTCACATAACTTCCAAACTTCATCTATATAATTCCATTACTTTCTATCCCTTGACTTGATTGGTAGTAATATTTTCAATATCTCCGGTGTTGGTGGTGAGTCATTCCTGTTGTATATGTTGAGCGTAGATTCGATGAACAACGATTCAGTTATCTCTCCACCTACCTACATTACTTTTCAAAATTATAACTCCGTCCCGCCCTATCATGCACTAGTGCATGCATTGCAATTGCTGAGTTTCCTTCTATTTGCTGAATCCTTCCCTATGCCCCACTTTGAATCTAAGAGAATGATAATAATCACTTTATATGAAATAAACAAGTTACCCTTGCACGACAATATTAGCACTTGAATTTTGTTGTTAGTAGCTGCCAGACTGTATTAAGGTTAAGTCAAATGTAGAAAATGGAATGGCAGTCAATAACCTTTTGAATCTGAATACAACTGTCACACTCACAGTGCGACGGTCGATGACGCCATTCGTATGCTCAGGAATAGTTGTTTGAATCGGACAGTGTTCGAATGTCAAACACAGGGGCTGGGGCCGAAAACCTAGACAGATGAGCCGCCTTTTCTCCAATTCAGAAAACTCAAAAACAATCGATTAGTGTGTGACATGCTTATATAATTTTTAGGGAGCAGACATTCTCATCACGATGAAAAACGAGTAAGTTAAATTCTTATATGTATGTGAATATCTTGTGGGCTATTTTATTCTTGTATTTCACTGAACATAGTTCACAACTTTCGATTTATTTTTATAACAGAAAACTCCCGAGAACTCCGAGACGAACAATGATAAATCCGTTGGCGAAATGGACAGTCATGGAGAAAATCAAGTTAATGGTGATGAGGTGGTGGGACAGCATGAAATAAATGCAGATTCAGCATTTTACGAACAGGACATTGGCTGTGAATTTTTCGACATACATAGTCATGATAGGGCTAGGTCCTTCCTAACTTTGGGAATATACGACAGTGAACTTTCTCAGAATGACGGTTACACCCATTCCATATGTGAACAAACAGTGGACAGGTTATATCGCTTCCACTCACTTCCCTCGCTGCGAAACTTTGAGAAGAGTGATCAGCCACTACTGCTTGAAAACTGCCCCAAAATAACCACTAAGCAGAACACTAATGACGAAGCACACACAAGTGGGGTGGTCACTACAGAGGAATCAACGAGTACTGAACCTGGAAGCAAAGATAATTCACAAGACATGACTAACTGTGATATCGAAACGTGAGGATAAACGAAGCCAAATGATTAGAAGTATTTTTCGTAATTCCGAATTTCTCCTTAAAGCACTAAACACAAGCAAATGAAATCATTTTTGACATTGAAATGAGAAACTGTAAAGCCTCATCTTATACTTTCTGCTTAGATTCTATTTGTACCTGGACAGCGTAATCATGCCTGCTTTTCCTCAACTGGCCTTGCTTTATGATTGTAATAGGAGATATTTCACAACTTTTGATTATACAATACCAACTATATGATGACGAATTTTGTTTATTATCTCTTTTTGAATTGAGCAAAATAAAAAGTCATATTCAGATAATACAATTGTTTTTACTGACTTTCAATCACAATCAAAGAATGTACATAAAAACTGAACAGAAAATCAACCCAAAAAATAACAGGATTATAAGCAGTTTATAAAGCAGAGTAATAATCAGTTGTTCATAAACACAAAGAATAATAAAAAGTTTTAAGTACATATGGAAATATTATATTGTGAGTGTATACATATATATTCCGATAATGCAACAATTTATCGATAATCCAACTACTGTAGAGCATTATATCGCCACACTTTTCATCTTGGTCAAGCGACTAATACATCAGGAGTTGATGATGTACACCTGATAGCAATCAGACCACAACATACATCGCTCAAGTTCTTTCTTTGACCCGTTTATCTTTTTTTGTCTTGTTGGGATTCGGTACTGTTTTAGCATTTTTTTTAATGGGAACACTTCACTTTGCAGATTTTTTAGTTTGTTTTTTTTATTGAAAAAGTAATTTCCCAACAGATATATATTTCGGGTTAGCAGAACGAGCGCAACACACTCACACACAAAAAAAATGCAGGTGACATCAAACTTTCTGATGAATAATCTCTCTCAACTGGATAAAAAAACATGACGAATAGTACTCTACAAGCAACTGAACTAACGACAAACTGCGACATATCAGAATATAATAATACACGGAAATAATATATATGAACTGAAGAAATACAAATGTTAATACTTCGTGATTGAATTCATGGAATAAATGCTTCAATAGGAATTTTTCCTGATGAGTTCATAGTTTCAAAAGCTTTGAAAGCAGCATTCACATCCCATGCGAATTCTTCTAAGCACTGTTTCGAAAAAGGTATGTTCATGCCAGTACGTCGACTGAATTCAGTTAGAATAGGCTCTCTAGCATCAGGTATAGACAAATTAACATTTGATGCAGGTTGTTGTGTGGGAGTTGGATTCACTTTTCTAGATTTTGTAGCCATTTCAGTTATATATTTCTAGAGTGAGAATGATTAAGAATGTTAGCTTTAAATTATTTGTAAAAGTAGAAAATGAGTGGAAAAATCAATTGCCGTTAATTAACATTGAGGGGAAGAATAATTAATTCAACTGAATTTAATAAACTATCCGAATCCCATTTTGATGCTTTCTTCCTCAAATGTCATATGCAGTGCATAGTTTAACGACTAATTTTGTTCATACTGAATAACTGAAAGCGCATTATCAACTACATTTCAGACTGTAGAGAATACGCAACATTCTAAACATAAGCATTTGATATTCTGGTAACTGGTTGTGAAGCTCTCTTCTCTGTTAGTGTTACACACTTTGCTTTCTCGTGGAGGAATAGCTGCCCCTGATAGAGAAAACATTAGGATTTCAGGAATCAGTTTCCTAAACAGTACCAATACGCCATGTATCTTGCTTGTGAACGTTAACAGCTTTCTGTAGTATGATATAAATAACAAAATCGTGTAATACCCGCTAGGCTTCATCTCTGGAGGAAGTTCGATTTGGGAGTGGGTTGAGTGTAATTGATTTGTTTACGTATTATTGCATCTATCATACCAGTCAAGCAACAGAAAACTGCTTTGAAATCTTATTGTAGTAGTGTATGACTTGCTAGACATATTTAACCGATAGATTCCGATCAGTGGGACAAAATTCATTGTAATGAATCATAAATTCGCTAAAAGCTCTTTCGGGTGTGTCAGACGAAGTGGAAGCAATGATATCGGAAATGAATATTACTTACTTTACACAGAGAAGTACTTGGGTTTGATATAATAAAGTCGTCCTGTATGACATGGCCACCAGGGGCAGCTAATATCATGGTTCGTGTGAAACAACGTAGTATTTTGCGAACAGACTTTTCGGGAGTTGAAGTCATCGCAGACGAAGCGATTGGCGCGACTTCATAAAATACCCCACCAAAGGTGAACAACATTTGGTTTTCCTGTACAAATTTCAAAAAGCCAAGATGATAATATGTACAGAAATGTGAATATTTTCAAAATCTATCACAAAGCTGACTATCTGTCCAACGGAAAACAATGCAGATCATAACAAGAAAAACGGATAACACAACAAAAAGTGGTAAAAATCAGAATCCAAAAGGATTAACTTAGTTACACCGGTGTTTGTTTCCCCAATGAAGATTAATACAGGTTTGATTTTATATAGAGAAAGTCCCCATTTTGACATTTAAAAAGTAAAAGGATTGAGCGGAGAAACATTTACTTTTCAATTTGATACTCATATTTGGCTCGACCGCCGCCCACAACGCGCCCAATAGTAACAACAGCCGAAGCAGAGCTACCAGTGGACATCAGCCATCCGACGAAAACAGAAATCCTGAAGACAATCAAGATGCTAAATACTGGAAAAGCAGCAGGACCAGATAGAATCCCAGCAGACGCGTTGAAAATGGACTTGATGACACCACTACTGGAGAAGGTGTGGAAAGAGGGCAAAGTACCCGAGGATTGGAAGAAAGGATACTTATTCAAACTACCATAGAAAGGAGACCTAAGTCAATGCAAGAACTGGCGCGGAATTATGCTCCTGTCCATCCCAAGCAAAATACTAAGCCGCATCATCCTGGAGAGAATCAAACATCCCCTGGATGAAAAACTTCGACCGGAACAGGCTGGATTCAGGAGAAACAAGTCATGCATTGATCACATCGCCACATTACGGATCATCATTGAACAAAACTTGGAATGACAGTCACCTCTCTATCTCAACTTCATCGACTTTGGAATGGCCTTCGACAGCGTCGATCGAGAGGTGATTTGGCAACTACTTCGCTATTACGGGGTGCCGCTGACAATCATACATCTCATCCAACAGTTGTACAATGCTGCATGCCAAGTAATCCACAACGGGAAACTTACGGAATCCTTCGAAGTGAAGATGGGAATAAAACAAGACTGGCTAGATGCCTACTATTTGCAATGATTTTCCTGAATGCGGTAGACTGGATAGTGCGACAGGTAGTGGGCAACAAGGAGACAGGCATAAAATGGACCCACACAGAAAACTTGGCGTATCTAGACTTCGCCGATGACATATGTCTGATTTCCCACAAAATGGAAGATATGCAAGTGAAAAGCAACAGGTTGGCAGAAGAAGCATCTAGAGAAGATAGGCCTTCAGGTGAACACTGAGAAGACAGAAGTGATGAAGATTCCTGGCCAACAATAACAGACAACAATCAGCATAAATGGGAGGAACCTGAAAGAAACAACCTCCATTACCTACCAACATGGGAAGCGTCGTTCCAACTACAGGCGGAACTGACGAGGATATCAAAGCAAGAATCGGAAAAGCAAGACAAGCTTTCACTACTCTCAAGCCTCTGTGGAGGTCAACAGCACTCAGCATCAAAAATAAGATCCGGATTTTCAACTCCAATGTGAAGTCAGTGCTACTATACGGATCAGAGACTTGGCGTGTCACAAAGAGCACCTCAAACAAGCTACAGACATTCATTAGCAGTTGTCTTCGCTCAATACTCAAGATCAGATGGCCAGAAAAGATCAGCAATAGTGAGGGATCTCTAGGAGCGAACCAACCCAGCAGGAATTGATTGTGAAACAAATAGGCAGGAAGAAATCGGGATGGATTGGCCATACTCTGAGGAAACCATCAAGTGACATCACCTGACAAGCCATTACTCGAGTGGAACCCAAAAGGGAAGCGGCGAGTTGGTCATCAGTGCAAGGGTGACTTGGAGGAGGTGATGTGAAGAGGAGATGAAAACGTGTGGGCAGACGTGGAACCAGGTGAAAACTCTAGCAGAGAACCGAACGCAATGGAGACGCACGGCTAAAGCCCTATGTTCCCCTAGGAACTAAAGGAAACAATAATAATAGTAGTAATAATATATGTAGCATTTTTGTTACAATACACAACAATTAAGTAATTAAGTGTTGACTTCACATAAATAACTTGTAGATTTGCATTTTAAATGGACCATATAATTTTTTCTTGATAAATTAAGGGTAAACAGAACTTACAGAATGAAACGCAACATCAACAGATAAGGATTCTAGTTGATGTTCTGTTGCTGGTAATTCATCCAAAAAGGAAGCGATTGCCAAACTGCCACGAACAACCATGTCACGTCGTCTGCTTTCGTCTCGACAACGAAGAAGATTGCGACTCCGCGTGAAGTAAGGTTGTGTTAGCCGAGATGTTGTTAAATATGCTACGGTTGGTTGACCCGACTCATTCTCTACCTCTATACGTGCATTAAATGATACATTTTGTGTACTGGGAATACGAGATTCAGGAACCACGGAGAAAGCAAGTTGAGATAGGCTTGTATAGTAAGGTAACAAGTTCTCCCCCCGGGGCTGGGTGTCATAGCGGTTGAGATAACTAATTTTAAAATAAATAAAAAGTCACAGTTAATGAAGGTCAGTTAGATTGAATTTACGCTAGAAATTTTGCACTACACATACTTGCGACTAGAAGCCGCCAGATATGTACGATACTTCATAAGTGAAAGGAAGTATCGATTAAGTAAAGCTGTTAGAGCAATATTTTTGACGGAAAAATTGAAAAATAACAATACAGTTCTGAGACGTTAGTCTTAAAACTGTTGGGTTTCTGAAACCAGTGGTATCTTATGTTGTAAAGCAAATGAAAACTAAGGGTTCTCACACAAACACAAGTGATGTGACGAGTTTTCCATCAATATGTTACGTAGAATGATATTACAATTTTGCAAAACAGATATGGCAACTAAAAGACAAAAGAAACATTGAATGTAAATATTGGGCGAACATGATCCATCAAATTTCGGGATTAGGAGTCATTTTTGCGCTTAAAAAATATATCAGCACCTGAAATACTAAATTAAACCATACCGAACGCTAAGGTGTCACAACTACAAAAGATGCTCACTTTCATGAGCACTGAAAATAGTGAATGTAATATGATCGATAGAATGAGATCAAAACTGAAAAAATACCAACGAACCACTTGTTTTATTGACATTTAACTGCCAATCGTCTTGGTGAGAAAATAGAGATGGCATCAAGTAATAACACAAATAAATAGTGCATCAGTCAAGCCACCTAATGAAATATGTGCAATGCATATTTTGTTGTCCAGTGAGAGTGATATCATTTCAGTATTAAACATTTTTGCACCATTCTGGATTAAGTGGTCACTTGTGCCTAGGCCTTTACATTCGCAATAAATTTCGCTGCACTATTCCCATACCGAATTACACGTTTTAAAGCACGACTATTAGTTTGAATCGGATAAATCATTACTTAGACGTGACAATTCTATGATCAGTAGGCAATTTCAAACCATAATATCAACAGTATACGGAAAAACTCACAGTTTCAGAAAACTTAGCAAAGCTGTTTTAACTTCATCATTTGGGAAATAACCTTGTATTGACTGAGGCAGCGGTTTCGGTTGTGGTTTAGTTGAATCAGAACCTTGCTCAATTGCGAACTGTACGGTCTGTGGTAAATCTTGTCCATTCTGAAATAGTAAAACACGGGTGAAGGACAGTTGCATTTTAGTAACTCGACAGTACAATAATATCAGCACTAAGAGATATCAAATTTACTTAAGATACTGAGTTAGGTGAATTAAGGGTTTGAAGTATTGATAAAGAGTGATAACGAAGTCAGTGAGGATTTTAAATCAGCCCTCAAAGTAAGATAATAAACGGAGAAACGACACACATGTTTGAACTATTTTTTATTTTTACCACTGATACAACTGTCTCATTTATACGGCTTTAGCCAGTATATATTTCTCCTTAGTGCATTTTTGCATACTTTCTATTGAGCTTTTTGACTCAGCGAAAAGATGGGACGTGAAACATTTAATGCCCTTACGTCTTAACAATAGGACTAGCTTGTGACAAATGCTGAGAATCCCATTCTGTATTACAAGTACTGTTTTTGGAATAAAGTAGATTATTATTATTATTAAAAATATAAAATATGAAAGTTTACGTAGTGACACGGGGAGTGGCGTTTGTTAAAATGCCAATATTCCTAATTAACATATCACCACAAAGATGTTGGTTAGGCGCAAAAAAAATGTAGACTAATGAGTCGGATAGTTCCGTGAGGGATTAAAATATGAAAAAACAAGCACTTTGCCAATCTACTGGAATATGAGAAGGAAACATGTAATTTTCAAGTTGTGAATATATATTTCATAGTATAGTATGAATTTATAAATAACTTGATAAACACTTTGTATGAGAATTTTGCACAAGAATTACACAACAGTTACAACTCACCAAGCGTTTGATAGTCGGCAAAATCTTTTGCAGTTTACTAGGTTGACACAGAGGGATTTCAGGGAACAAAATCCCAGAATGGAGAATGAAACGAATGAAATTAGGTAGCTCTTTGAAAAGGAAAAGCTGTGAGATGCATATTAGTAAACTAAAATTATTAATCATCTAACCACATAAATACACCAGTATCTTGAATATAAATCACCTTAAATGACAATGTTTACCGCTAACTTAGAAAGACAGTAAGTAAAAGATAATTTGCTAAATCATAGTTCACAATTAACTTGCTGTTTTTTAAGGTTTTATCTATTATACCTATCGAATATTTGTGTAGTCATGCCACTTTTCATTATCCTTGTTATCACAAACCTCTCTGACTTGTTGACCTTAATAATTAATAGAGTTATTGTTAATAAGCCCGGAACCTCCTGTCAAGTGACATCAAGTAAGATTTGCAAGCTGGAAGCAGCTGATGAGAAGTCGGCGAAATACATGATGGCAACATATTATTCTGCAAAATGTTGTCTTTACTTTATTCACATGGAGTTAAGATTATCAGCTGCCAAATCTTATCATTCTATTGAGAAATTACCATAAACCCTTGATGTTCAATATTTATTCGTTAAACTATGTGAGATTTAGTTGAAAAAGTTCTGTCCACTTACACGTTAACGTATCGCAACCAAAAAAGATGCTCACTTTAGTGAGCACTGCAAACAGTGAATGTACTGTAATCGATAGAATATGAGGGCTTTGCAACAACTTTGATTGCATCTTAGGAAGTAAGCCTCATTATGTCATTCACACTTGGAGTTATAGGAAAACTTAAGCATATTGCAATGTACAGACGTGCAGCATAAAATGATTTGAACATATAGCACAGACGGATTTCGCAACTGTTGGTACATTTAGATGACAACCGTTTAAACTCCTGCAAAGGACGTATATCATGATATAAGCTTTGATTACTACTCCTGTGTTATACTTGATTCTTTTGACTATGATTATCCCAGGTATTATAATTAATACTACTAGATGCAAACTGAAGCCCTTCAAAGAGAAGCTCAAGACGTAACTGACTTGCTTTGCAGTAGTCTCATTGGTTGAGATTGTTTATCCTGAGGTAATTTCAGAAACTGATCAAAGAATACACATGTTCTACGCTGCCCTAAAATAACAGCTTATTTTAAAATGGGGAAAACAATTAGATTTATCTCTATTGACAAGAAACAAAACTCAAACTTATCAACAGATAATGGACAAAATTATACATCCAGTTTTTGGAAGATATGAGCACCATATGCCGCGAGATTGACTACCAGCCGGGATGGAGGCCAAGGATCGCAGATAAATGGATAACAGTGTACACTCACGCTGCAAACACTCGGTCGTTTGGATGGAATTTGGACAAGAGTGGAGTTTCAGTTAAATCAAGTTCGACTAGACCAACAATGTCTCGAAGACCGGAAAGAATCGGTATTCCACTTAAAGGATTCGAACTGAGGTCTATGCGCTCAATTGATACAGGAGTGCATCCAGCACTTGTTGAAGACAAGGGAGAGAAAGCGTTCAGATGGGTCAGGCGGTTGCTTGACAAATTGAGTACTGAGAGCTTGAGAAAATAAAAAAGGAATTTATTAAATATTTGTTGTAATACAACTAAATCCACTGACTAGCATACATCGGCATGTAGGCACACAAAATGAAAAAGCCACTTGTTCCACTCATTCGTTACATATAAGGAAGCATAAATAGAAATTTGATTTCCATTATAACTGAGTCAAGTTGAACCCCCAAAGAAATGAGTTTCTCGGTTATGCAATATCATATCGAACATTCAGCTTTGGCGCTTAATTATGATGGGTACCTACATTGGTTTTGCAACATCAGAATATAACTTGAATCGTCATCCTTCTGAAACCAGTTACAAGAAATGAAGAGAGAAAACTATTACCGACCTGAAAAACATTGAAATAGTTTGCTAGTATTTTACAGTCTATATTAACGCTGTTGCATGGCATGCATCAATAACTATTACTGTTGTCTAAACAAAAAAAATTGTATGTAAGACAAGAATTTTGTAAAAAGTCAAAGTTTTTTTCTGACCGAAAATATTTACCTGTGCCTGGTTTTGTTTCAAAATAGCAATTAGAGCATGGACAACGGCTTGTTTGTTTAGAGGCAAATACAGACCTTGACTAAGGAGATCAGGATCTGTATGTAACGAAGATAGATCCAAAGTGCGTGTGTTAGGCTGATAGCGTTGTACGAAACACTGTTTTAACGCTTCTATCCAAGTTTCTGGTAGAGGTGTACTGTTTATTGATTCCGACCTTGACATTTTATCTGAGATGGAAGGAACTCGAGGTTCTGGGACAATTGTAATGTCAGTAATCAACTGTGAGCCTTGAAGTGCATCACGTGCATTCTGTAGAGATTTGCGGTAATTGTGAACCTGAAAAAGTGTAGATTATAAGGATAAAACAATGTTTATACCCGGTCAATATTTTAGCATTGCTTGATAATAACTCAGTCATCTTGCATTCAAGGAACGTAAATATTTAGAATCAATGGATATCAACACTTAGTACTAAACTCCACCAAAATGAAACCATTAGACGCATATTAGTTGGAAATAAATCATCCTGGGAACTGTAAAGCCAGTCACACTAAGTGCAATAACAGAGCAAAAACGCAGGTAGAACAAAAATGTAATAAAATGTGAAATTTTGTATTATGGGCTACGAATAGCATAAAAGGTGGCTTAGGCAAACAGTGGATTAATTCATACATTGCGTACCTGACATATAAGCTGGAGAGTCACACCACTTTTGGACAATTCTATGCATTGAGAATGGCAGCAATACAGGTCAAGGCTACTACGGCATTACAATCTTCACAGTCTAGTAATTACGCTGCAAGCATTGCGTATACTCAAATTCAAGTAAATAGATCAATGCTAATAAAGTGTGATAGATCATTTTACATCATGAACCACGTAAGCTTAAAAATTTTAAAATTCTCTGAGATGCAATCTACAAATATAGTTAACCTAATAAACTGCTGTAATACCCTGACCTGGTTTCTGTGTATCTTTTCTATTGAGAGTTAACCGTTAACACAGACTGACATGAACATGTGGTGAGAGATGGCTGCTAGCCAAAGCTTGTAGACAGTAATTGACGTCAATGTTTATGTCTCCAATATTGGTGGTGAGAAAATGAGAACAAAGGCTTTGCGTAGGCGGATACAGTTAGCATATGGATGATCTGACACAGCCACAAAGCGATGCAAGGTTAACTTTCTGTGAGAAACAAACAATCAACAGACTGTATTCTCTACTAACAATCATCTACAATAATGTACATTAAAATCTATAAATATGTGTTGATTTTCTTTAATAAACGATCTGTTGCCTGGCCCTTGTCTTCTGTTGTTACAAGCTGTCTTTGATCATAGGTGTCTACGTTCTATATCCCGTGTGAAGTGGTACGATAAGGTGAGCAATATTGAGGTCAGGCGTCGAGTGCTAGGTAAGGAGGGGAAATCGATCGATGAGGCTGTGAAATTACATCGACTGAGATGATTAGGACATGTGTTACGTATGCCTAGTCATCGCCTTCCTCGTCGGGCAATGTTTGTCTCTCACCTCTGTTTACTGTCTATATTATGTATTTCTACTTTCTTCTCTTTGTTGTCTTCTGTTGTTACAAATATACTTTACGTGTGATAATCCATCTCAGAGAATGCACACTCACAACCTCATCGGCACACAGCATCAGCTATTATGACAACAATGATCCCCGTGGCTTTGTCAAACTTAAACCTGTACATGCAAGTACATAATCTTACTGAACATCACGTAAACTACTTCAAAGCTTATTTGTATCACTACTACTTGACAAAATGACTTAGTTAGGAGTACTAAATTACCTACCTAATTCACACTTAACAGCAACCTAGATAAAATGGTAGATACAAATAACCTGGCAGAAAACCAAAGTCTTTTTGTATTTCTGTGCCATTTTGCAACCCAAATGTTTTACTTATTAGTAAAACATGTATCCTGTGTAACAGCACTGCTCTACTGTAGCGTTGGGTTTTTACGGACCTAAATATTTTAATAAGATGGCTTTAGTATTATGATCTGGACGTGACAGAGTAATCATGTAACAACAGAAGACAAGGGCCAGGCAACAGATCATTTATTAAGGAAATCAAAGCATATTTATACATTTTCATGTACATTATTATAGATTAGTTAAGCAAACAAACACAGTCTTCTAATTGGTTGTTTCTCACTTATTATTCTTTCATCTCTTTGTGACTGTTTCTTGACTGTCAGATCATCTATATGTTAACTGTATCCGCCGACCCAAAGTCTGCTGTGGTCGTTTTTTGAATCAGTCTTGTTCATATTTTCTGACGACCAATCTTGAGAACGTAAACATTGACGTAAATTATTGTCTACCAATTTGGCTAGTAGACAGCTCTCACCACAATCACACAAACGAGGACCCATTCGTTGTTCTAAATGACTGGTATGTGATACCCATGCAAACGTTCACCCAAACTTGCAGAAAAAAGCTAACAGTACCCACACATCATTAATCTATAAAATCGAGTAGACAATTATTATTGACGTAAACTTATGTAGCTAGGAATTCTATATTCATCTTTCCCTAATGGAGTAGCACTAAATTCTTGCTTTTTCGTTTTGCGATACTTTAAATTATGGCAGCTCCATTTACAGTACGTTTTCATCGTCTCTAAGTCCCCAGCCCGGTAGTCAGCACTTGCAACTTCGCAACCTAACCGACTGATGAACCCTACTAACACCCCGCAGTTAGCCTCAATATTGCTCACAAAATCGTACCACTTAGCATAGGAGACAAGATGCAAACAACGCCCAACCCATAAAAGACAGTTTCAATTTATATGCAAAGGACTATTGATTATTCCAAATATACTGATCAAGATAAATTCCTGCCAGTCTATATCAGCTGGCGAAAACACAGTTACCGACTAAATGTGCGCCTAATTAATGTTCGACTGGAAAGCAGATGCGGTCATAGCAAGGTAGCAAATATCGTTATCACATCCCGCTTTCATTCTTGACTTTTGCTCGGTCTGATGAAAATTTATCCTTACTAAGCATGTCAATATATTTTGTGCGTCGTCCGTCCCGTATGTGACTACTCGTGAAGTCTACGAGTAATATATCAATACCATGAGACTTCTATCCTGTATTAAAATTAAGTAACATTGTCCTTCTGTGCACACGTGATCTTTGCCTGGTTTAATTTTTTTCGACAGTTTGCACACCTTTATTTAGTTACATGTTGGTTAGACAAATAAAGATGTATACAAATGTAACTTACCTCTTTCTGTCTAACTTTGGCATACGTTAGAAAGTTTTTACCCTCCACACATGTATTGTAGAACCGCAGTTGAGTCCCGACAGCTGCAATAATTATTCGCTGAAGGCCGGTGGGAGAATGGTTAGCACCATTGACAACGGTAATTCTGACCCACACCTCTCCTGCAGCCAAACCGCTGTTTTGAGAAGTGACCCCAGAAGTTCCCGACCCACTTACTAACTAAATACAAAATATTTTACAAACACGATTAAATACTAAATATTAAGACCTAAATACGTATGTGAATGACTAGTAGTACTATTTGTTTCCATACTGCCTACCGCAAAACAACCTTTGATGGCTTTCTGTTTAGTAGAAAAACAGCTTAGGAGATCCACACTCAAAAAATAATATAATTAATAAATCTCTTGAATGTGACCAGTGGGTATACTGAACGATAAAATAATTCACAAGATACCTGATACTTATATATGCTGTGGTTCTGATTTATACAGTTAGATGTCCTCCTAAAGTAGAGAAATCGTACCATGAGCTTGTTTTCAAAGAGTTTATACACAAGCTGTGGCATACACGCAGCATTGTGGATGCCACAATTATGTAAGTAGTAAACACAACTTGGACAGTATTGAGACCAAAAATGAGATAAAATAGTATTAGCAAGATGGGATAAGCGTTCAGTAGTGGATATCATGAACAAAGTGTTTTACTTCGAGAAGATGAATACTATTCTTATTGAAAATCAAGAATTCCAAAAAACCTCAACTTCTCTGGATTTGACTGAAAAGATAGAGAAAAAGTTAGCCGAAACAGTGAGACGACTGAGACAACTAAGGTTTATCTCACTAAGTCAGTACGCATCACTTAAGCCCAATAGAATATCCACACCTGACTAACTGGCTTAAACATAGAACTTTGCACAGATGTCCAGCAGTTCGAGTTGCCACACTCAATGTAACATACACAAGAGAGAAAAGTGAGAAATGCAAAATAGAGACAGTGAACATACATATAAGGCAAAAATAATAGTAATATTGAAGAACTATGTAGTTTCATTGGGTATTATAAGACACAAGGAGTGGATGCATCTGCGCCGTTGAGAACGATTTTGAGCCATATCACCTATTTTCTCCAGCCATTGGGGTTTACCATCCCGAGGACCCCAACCAAGAAGTCTACATCTTTCTACATGGTCGGCTTAAACTAACCTTTGTGGATTTCATCGATTGATGAAGCCATGTTTTGGTTTGACCACACCACTAGCTCTTTCCCAACCTGATCAATCCTATTTCAGCTAACATTCCCCATTGTCGAGGATGGCGATGGCTAGGCCTGCATACATAACACATGTCTGAACTATCTTAATCGGTGCAACTTCACAACATCGTCGATTGATTTCCTCTCCTTACCTACCACTTGACGGAAGCCTAATGTCAATGTTGCTCACCCTACTATACCACTTAACATGTTAGATAGAACGCAGGCACTTATGATGAAAAACAACTAGCCTTTTCACGTCTTCCACTTTCAGTGGCCATGTCTCGTTCACAGCCATAAAGGAGGACGTAGCGAACTGCTGCTGTGCAGCACACACGTCCTTCGATTGACAGTCGGATACCACGTCTACTAAGTCAGAGACAGTGTAAATTGGCCGATGAGAAACTAGCATTCTGTATCCATGCTCAGGTTTCCTCAGTGATCAACTTGCTGATGCAACTCCCTAAATATGTGAAGTGGTCAACACACGTAGCCACCACTTCACTAGCTTTCTTTAAGCTAGGAATTAGTCACTGTTGTTCAGTCCTGTAGCATCATCTTACATTTGACAGCAGGAGCGAATCACATGCCAAACATTCGAAGACTGATGCTCAAGGTGTTGAGAAGACTGCATTTTATCAGCGTCTTCACCTAGGAGCAGGACTATATCATCTGCATATTCTAAGTCAACGAAATTACATTCTGGTAACAAGTCAATCCCTGAGTCTTTGAAGTGTTAGGGTTTATTCCATCAGTACATCTAAGATAAAATTTCACAGATGTACGAGAACCTAGTTTGTATATAGCCTCAGAGAACAAGTACAAATGCGATCCACAGAATTTCATAACTTTTTGAATTAGGCTTTAAGAAGTACTGCTAAGCGAGGTAGAAACCTACTGAACTAATTACAAAAATAGGTATCACACATGCAATTCAAAGACCGCTTGCTAAAATCCACCCTAAACTGTGCATCTTTTAGAGGACTTACATTCATACTCACAGCACGTCTGATCATTTCCATATTGTTACTGGGAGCCATGGATTTACGGCCACCAGACTTTCCTGCGTAGTCACGACGATGTAAATACGCCTCAGTAGTTTCAACATGACGACCATCCTCAGTATCTACATATATCAAGAGATTACAAGAAAGGCCAGCTTAGAGACGCTATCAGCTATAGACAAAGCGATCAAAAAGTAAAACAACGCATATGACAACTTAACCAAAAGTCACAAACATGCCATTACTGTGCTTGATTTTATGGTCCCTAAAAGTCAATTACGGTTACATTAGATTCTAAAAAGACAATTTCCCGAACGAGGAGCGTCGATTTCGTCGCCTCTCGAATTCTCAATTAACAAATACTCGAAATTTGCACCTGTTACGTATAATAGTGCCACAATAGTTAGAAGTCCCATATATCTTTCTCTAAGAAAACTCAGTGAATCAGTGTTGGCTTGCTCAACTGGACTAGGGAATACCTCACAGTTAGCAAATAATTCGGACCAACTCGAAACTCTCCATCTGAGTAACAACACGTAGTGTATTGCCATGTGGCCCCGTATTCGGTCCCTTCTCGCGTATCAACGAATTACCTGCGCTCACCAAATCTCCAGCAGTTCTCCACACCGATGGTCTAAAATTCTGGAAAAAGCTCAAGGATGGTAATGGCATGCTCATGTTGCAAAGAAATTTCAAAAGAACTGTTCGGCCGATCTAAAGAATGGATGCTCCCAATCATGTTAACAATTCAAAGAGATGACTACGAACCAGATGTATATTCTCTTTTTCTTTCAAACGTAGTCGAAGCATTCCAGACGATAGCAGGAGTTCAAAAGTCAAGGAGGAAATAAATCGCTGCAGAGTCACTGTCTTAGGATTGACTCCAAGAAAAGGTGGAGTCACTGCCGTCAAATGACTCGCCAATAAAAGGGTCTAGACAAGAACATAAACCGATTAGAAAAAGATTAAAGACTTGTAGCCTCCTAGTATATCCTGGACTGCTTCGTTAACGGCAACGCACTCTTTGTTTGAGTCTTAAAAGTATACATTTAATAATGATTGCCATTAACATTAACAGGGGGCATCCTGTTGGCACCATAAGAAATCAATGCGAAATAACCGCTAGGCTTCACAACCAATTACATGAAAATGTAAAAATAGGCCTTTCTGAATAAAAGCGGTGGACGTTTTCAGTTTGGAGTAGTGTCGCATTCGTCTACAACTGCGAGAAGTGGACATACGTCCGTGTAGATGTTAAGCAAACTGTTGAGATCTTATGGTCCCGCAACACATAACCAAGTCTCAAACCACAGGATTTGGCGAAGCTTGATACAATAATACTTACAAATTCTGTATCTGTAACGGCAAGGTCTAGCACGCTGGCTAAAGTGGTGCATAGTCAATCCACTTTGCGAGTTCGCGGTGTCCTTTACACCAATTCAAACAAAAGGAAAGTCCGCTTCTTCCGAATTCAATGATTCAGATTTCAATATGGTGAAAATATTCGTGCAGATATCTAGAAGAAAATCGAGCGAAGAATATCCTTTTTGATAGTTTTCACTTTTGGCTCTACAATTATATATATTCTGGAATAGTCGTCAATAACAATATTAATATTTCTTAAATGATGTCGATTTCTTAAGTTAGATCAATGGAATCACAGTTCACTAAGGATGCACAAATTGTAACAAGCATAGAAATACAATAGCAAATAGAATATCAAATAAAATTTGGGAAGTCTCCACAACATTAGAACCTTGCTGGCCGAAGTATGGACTGTGTCTGAACCAGCTTCTCTTGGGTACATAAGTTAGGTTTCTTAATGTGGATCACAACGGCCTCAGCGATATGTAGGACGCGAACTTCTAAAGTGAAGTTTAGGTATGCAGTCTAAAAACTTGCATATTTAGGATGGTCACGAAGTATTTTGTCAAGATGTTGTCCGCGCGCTGAAACCACGATGTCAGTGTTTATCTATTGTCCTCATAAATACTAGATCAGTTCTAAGCAAACACTTAATAATAAGTGCATTAGCTTCTATATGCAGACCGCCACTGATTGCGATCACCGAAGCTTGGTGTACAAGTGAAATCCTTATTGACAGCCTAAGAACTGTAAACTGCAACCTTTTTCGAGTATACAGAGAAACAGGCTGTGAGGGTGGAAAACTAATTTACTGTGAACAATCCATGTGTGCAGCCCAGTTCAGAAACCCAATTCTGTCACAACTCAGTGACTCGAACTGCGTCAAAATAAAAATTTTCAGAAATAAACTTTTACGGATGGGTTGTGTGTACCGAACCCCTTCATCCAGCAGGGAGCTTGATGATAGGCTCAGCAACATTTTTAATGCTAAGGCCAATCTTCCATTCAGTTAAAAAATTATTGGAGATGATTTCAATACGCCAGAAGTATCATGGCCTTCATTCCGAGTACCCCAAAGGTGTGATAATCTCCTGAATCCCATCGTCACTGGAGAGTGGACATAGATTCACCCACTAGATTCGGAAATAACCTAGACTTATTTTCATGAACAACGTAACACTATCCACAGTACACTTGGGACACGAATTTCTAAGTAGTGACCATAAGGTAGTAATATGTTCTTTTGACATCTTTCCTGAAACAAAACGCAGAGATGAAGCTGGCAAAACACCTATAAGATTGTACACGCATGCTGACTGGGACTTGTATCAGCACTTAGTTGGACACACTAATTGGGACTCACACTTTTCGAGCGAGACTTAGAGGCAATTCTTAATAATTTTTATCACAATATTAACTCAATTCATGACGTCATTGCTTCGAATTCCCCCAAAGCGACTATATTCCAACATCGTTAAAGAGAAGTACACGAAAGCACTCATTAAAATAATACACATATCATGGCTTACCACCATCAATTGCTATTATGTCTCTCCTCACTAGAATTCAAGATTTGAAAATATAAGCCCCAGAAACGAAAATTGAGGGCCATTTAGCCACCACTCAGTAAGTTAACAAACTCCAAAACAGCTTATCCTAAAATATTATACTTAGACGGGATTGCTTACGAAAACACTGAAGTGATATGTGAACTGTTTAGCAAGCACTTCACCAGATTATACACCTTAGAGAACGATGAGGTCGTGGATTTCCCACGTTAAACAGACGAATGTTTAAGTGAAATACTTTTCACCACACACGAGATTGATAAAGCTGTCGCGAATCTTAAGCTTAGTAACACTATTGGTCCAGATGGTATATCTTCCATTCTGCTGAAAAACGGTGGCAGTGACATGAATTTACTCCTACTCAAATTATACTCAATTTCACTAAGCGATGGGACATACCCTACCTGCTGGAAGAAGTCTTATATTGTATCTGTCCGTAAATATGGGCCTGTAGCTGATATCAACAACTACCGCTCCATCAACATCACGTCTGTAGTTTCGCGTGTAATGGAAAATATAGCAAAGACTCAAATCATTCGGTACTTGCTGTCAAATGACCTGCTATCCCCATCCCAATACGGTTTCTTAAGTAGAAGATCATGCATTACTTGTCACTTATATTATTTTGACTACATTACACAATGCATTGATAATGGGCGTTCAGTAACAACATTATTTCTCGATGTTAGCAAGGCCTTCGATAAAATCCCACATATCAGACTCCTAACAAGGCTCCAATCCTACGGAATAAGTGGAAAGCTTCTCAAATGGATAAATTCTTTTCTCACAGTAAGAGAGCAGCTAGTCAAAATCAACTGCCAGCTGTCTTCACCAAAGCCGATAACTAGTGGTGTAATACAAAGAAGCGTTCTTCACCCTATTCTATTCCTTTTATTTATAAGTGACATAGTCTCTGTGGCCATGTATAGAAAGCCATACCTATTTGCAGATGATTTCAAGATAGTATATGATTATGGGTACGGTAATATGAGCGTTGAGATCCAACACGAATTAAACAGTTTAGGCAATTGGCGGGGAAAATGGCAACTGACTTTCAAGACGGACAAGTGCGATATAGCCCACTTTGGGGTCAGAAACCGAGAATGTGCCAATATATTTACGGTAAGATCCTCTCAAAACTGAACGAAGTCACAGATCTTGGGATGACATACTCAGATTTGACCTTTACCAATCATGCGAATAAGGTAGTATCTGAATGTAAATGAATTACTGGCTTTGTTCTGCGTAACACTGACACTGAAGAAGCAAGATTAGCAATCCATAGGACATGCATTCGCCCCAAACTTCAATATTGTATTCTCCTATGTAGTTACCTGAGGTCTGAAGACCGTAAAAGCCGGCAGTGTCCAGAGATTCTTCATGGTTACCCACTTCCTACAAACATGACCTATTCCACATCTCTCTCCAGCGCCCAGCTCGTAGCTTCCCATCGACCTTCCATCTAAGAGCTTGTCCTGTAACAGCGCTCAGTGGTCGCCTCAGTGCTTGTTCAATTCACCCGTTTCCATTCTACATAGTTGTTGGGTGAATAATTCCTATCCGATTTACCACCGCAGTTGCAACTGGTTGACCATCCTCACCGGTCGGCAATCAAATCTTCAGGAAAGAGCTTTTACCTGCTGATGGAAGTTTCGGATTATTAGAAATAACTTCTGTGACCCATATGCCGTGCTCGGCCCGCCTAACCTGGTGGCTAGGCTGCTCCTAACACTTCCCCGACTTATGAGGCGAGTAAAGAACATTTACGGCTGTTCAAGGATGCATTCGTTTACGATAGTGCAAACAGAGTATAGAGAAACACAACCCCACTCCGGTTTGTAGGACAGCATCGTTTATTTTTGACAGCTCACGAACTAAACATTAGTCTAGGTCCTTAACAAAAAACAATAAAAATTGCACCGATCTAAATTTTTTTAAGATGATTTTGTCCCTAACATCTACTAGCCTGCTGAGCTTATTGTCAAGATGCTACATCATGGGCCCTACACAAATTCGTCAGACATCTTACAGGTCAGCATGTCCTACAGGTTTTGACCATTCAGATCTTTGGAGCCACTTCTCACTGAAATATCACTTACGTGCTATGATACCATTTTATCGTGGCTAACTAGGCCTTTAATGTGGCTAAAGCTCCCTATTTTATTTGTATTATTCGCTCGCTTAAAGTTCGGTTGCTCTGACGGGAAAAACCATGACAACAACACCAGTGTTTGAACAAAGCTGTATTTTCATCGAAAACATCATAGTTTCCATGCTTAGTCCAGCATGGTTAGCAATGAATATTGCAAATGTATTTCAAGGACTCTGTAGCTCATTCTCGTATATATCTTGTAAATGTGCTTTCGGTGGTGTATTGTACTATGTTTTATACCATTTTGCAGTTTCGCAGGGTGTTTTTCTCTACCTGAAATAGCCTTTTATAACTTGGTGGCATAGAACTTAACGCTGTTCACTGGTTGACCATAACTATCAGCGTTAAAGGAAACAAAGTTTGCTTTGGTAATCAACCTTGATGGTGCCCTTAGTGAAATATTTGCAGTTTAACATTTACACGAATCTGTTTTGATTGATTGTACAAAAATTGAACAATTTTAACTTTTGAAAAAGCATTAATTTATGACACTTTATGGTAGCAATTTATGACATAACTGATCGTGCCTATAAAAATGGCATGCGTTTGATGTAAACTTACCCGTTTGTACGAAATGTAAATTATTATTACTATGACGGTAATCTTTACCTTGGTTTTGAGTGGTCGAATTTGAGGCTAGCTCAGCTCACTACTAGATCTAGATAGATCTTATAATTAGCTGTTCTTTTGCTAACTGATAACAGTAGGCGCAAAACAGTAGGCTCCTAGTTCGGATCACTCAAAATTTCTTTTGTTGTAAAACGAGAGTGTCATTATGCAAAGAATGAGTTTGACCCGTTTTAGGATATTGCCCGTTTATTCTTGACAGACACCGATATAATGGCGAGTTTGAGTTGGAGAGTTTGCAACGGCAGCTTTTACCTTAGAATCCGCTCTCGACTGCGCCCATCGTTGCAATAATCTGCAGATAGAACTACTCTGGAAAAGACGGACTAAGCTAAATCTTATTTTCTACTAAAATTTAATTAATCTATCGTACTCCTGCAGGCTAATAACTAAATCTACCTCTGGAATCAGGTACAGAGTAGCCTTAGATTTATACGTGGTCCACCTTATCGTTCAACTGTTTTTCAGTGACTTGAAATGGACCAGCTGCTAACACATTTCCAGTATTCGTCTCCTCAATCACCAGAGTCCTCAAAGATGACAATGCTTTCCTGTGTCCGACTCCTACACCTTTTCACGACATATCGGTGTAATTGATATGCTCAACGTATCACTGACAACAAACTTCACCAACAGATATTAATATCATTGGAAGAACATGCTAAACATTGGCTCATAAAGAAGATAGCAGAGCTTGTGAGTGTGTCAGTGAAAATCTCGTTTTTTATGCAGACTGTATA